CCGCTCAACACGTGTCGAAAGAAAATGATGGTAAATATGTGGACAAAGAGAAGCAAAGGAAATTGAATTATCTCTATAAGAACATCACCCGAAGACAAGTGGATAAACAAATGCTTGACATTCCATCGGTCGAAGAAATCACACAACAATTTCCAGAAGTGACCGAAAGTCCGAAGAAAGACATTCTAATGAATGCATTCATTAAACGGATCGACGGAATCGACATTTTCGGCCAATTTATCGCTAATATTGTCAAAAAGAGATGTTTACGGGAAAAGACAAACCGTGACAACGATAACAATGACGACAATTTGTCGCTAAATATGAAACGTTTATATGAATTGCCATTAAATCGTTTAATTGATTTATTGCCCGTTGTTTTCAATACACTCGATGAGAGCGAACAGCAATCGCTTGTTTCGCATATATTTGACCGCTTTATCGGTTTGGCCTCAAGTGAAGAATATCGTCAACTGAACGCTCAAAATATTGATTTTTTGTTTACAAGTAGTTTTGAAGTCATGTTATCCGTAATTCTCAACCATTTTTATAAATTATTACATAAAATATCGTCAGAAGTGAATCAATTAAGTGATGAACACAACAGTGAAGTGAATCCAATTGGAAAACAAGTGACTGACGGCCTCTTTAAGCAATTGGCGAATGCAATCAAATTCATGGTTAAAATGTTTAAGAAGTGTTCGCTTAAAATAGGAGACATTGACACCGAAGAGGAATTGATCCAATTATTTGTCATTACGTTTTCGTTAGCACTTGATATGAGACTTATTACGGATATTGAATGGATTATGGATTTAAAAGAATTGATTACTGTTTTACAGAAACACATTTGCATTAATCAATTGAATGGCAGTCAGATTATCGATAAACTGATGCTATTTTGCATTTCAAACAATCAGCCAAACAGTGAAATGTGTTTAAGAATCGTCTCATTATATCCATTGATTACAGACTTTGAATTAAAGCGAAAATTTTGTGTCGTTTTTCTAAACGAATCGTTTTTGACTAAAAAGTTGAACGAATTGGAAATGGATTACAGTTTGCAATCGATTCAACTGATATTAAACCAAATCGATTGGAAACAATTAAATCGCGAACATATTCACGCCATTATCAAACTTATTTCCCAATCTATGGATTTGCCAAACGATTTACTTCACTATAAAGTAAGCAAAAAAACAATTCATTTATAAAATAGTTTTTTTCAAAACTTATTTCATTTGCTGTCAAAAGGAGACAATTTGCCAAATACTGAAGACATTGGACTTTCAGATCAACATTTGTGTCCCAAAAGCGTCCGACTTTGAAGTAAATGATGTATGGCTTAAGCATTAATGTCTTTATGCATTGATATCACTCTTACATTGACTTGTTTTCTCTCATTTGATCCACAGATCCATAAACTGCTCATGATTTTAAGGATAAAAGTGAACGCATCGACAAAACGATTTTGATTTTTTTATTTACAAATTTATATAATTTTCATAAATTTTTTTGGATATTATTTATATTTTAAAACTAAAAAATTAATCATTTTTTTATTTGATTAATTGCTATATATTTTTTCACTTTTCGTTAAAAACAGTAACATTTCGTTTTCATAAAATGAATTTTCAAAATAATAAATAAAATAATTTCAATCCATTTTAATATCTAAAAATTATTGGGTTTTGCTTTCACTCATTCATTCATTCATTCGTTAATTTTATTATTAAATTATTTGTTAATCAAATGGTTTGAGCGATAATTTAGTTGAAGTCAAAGTACTTTTAAGTCAGAGTTATTGTTTATAAATTGGTTTTAGGCTTTGGATGCGGTGTCTGAAGAATAATTCAATTTTTCAATTTTC